CCTCCTGCTTCGATCACCTTCTCACTCTGCATACCCACCTATCTCAGGGACCCCCTGCTGTGTCCCTCCTCCCTCTTCCCGCAGACTTCCACACATTTCATCCTATAGTACCTCCTAATAGGAGACTGACGTCTCCCCAGGACTTGGCTGCCTCATCACACTATTATCAATCACTGCTTGGAGAAAAGAAGGACCTTCTGCAAGTGGGTAGGAAGACACAGAGACTGAGGGTGGGGATTGAAGGTGGTCAGGAAGGGAGGAATGAGGATTCAGAATAGGAGGGGAGAGGGAAGAAATGTGTCATGAGTCTCCTCAAAAGTCAATGAATTCTGAATCTCATCATTTTCAGTGAATGAATTCAGATGATTCACTTCCCTTCGGCAGCCCTCTATTCCCCTCTCTGTGTAATGGAAAGGGAAGTGCTGGCACTTGCTTTAAAGACAGAGCAGCATATAGAATCCAGCTTGGGAGAGCCAGGAGCACATGAAACTATATATCATATGGGCTATGGCACTTATGTTGGTTTTCTTCTGAACAATATTTTTGATTATATTAGCTCCAGACTGAATGTATTTCTCTAAACATCATTGACTTTTTGGCAGTTTTCAGCAAACCCACCAGTTTCTGGTTTCCTATTCCAGCCCTTTGTTTCCTGGTATCCCCCTTAGCTTCCACTTAAGCAGCCATTGCCATCTAACATGGTAACCTGGGCTCTAAGCAGAAGTTCTAGGACCAGGGTCTAACTTTGGCTCCTGGTGACAGACTCAGAATTCAGAAGCTATGGAAAGCTGTGACCAACACTCCTTTAACATAATAAGTTCCTGACTTAGGAAGTAACTGGGTTTAGGTTAGAGACAAAGGAAAATTTGGGCCAAGTATCAAAATATTCATGCAGAAGTCTGAGCTGACTGGCCTGGGTGGGGCTAGGAATTGGGCCAGAGATGGTGAGGCAGGAAAGGGCGAGGAAGGGTAGGGGGTCATAGGCTAAAGCTGGAGGGACCAACTTGGCCCCTCTGTTCATGGTGCTACTGACGACAGAGTATAACCTCAGGGTGCAGCCCCGGGCTCTTTGCTTTCCATGAGTAAGGAAGCAAGAATGTGGCTTCTCCCGCCCCACTCTTTCCACAGGCCACTGGGGGCCTAGCAGCTCCAGCACCTCCCCTATCGTGTTACCAGGCCCAAGATGTGGCTTTCAGTGCCAGCTGTGACAACAGCATCTTTCCCCTTAGCACTAAACATGCAGGGAGAAGGAGTCCTCAGACCCAAGGAAGCTATATGACCAGCAATTAGCACCTCCTTCCCAGAACTGCACAGGAATCTGTCTGCCCCAGTGTAGGAAAGAAAGAGAAGAGCTTCAGGCCGCAGACAACAGAAAGGAGTCGGGGGAAGTGGGAGTTGGGGTTGTGGGGGCGAGCAGCACATGCAGCTGGCCAGTTGCTGGGAAACGCTGGCTAAGGACATAGCATCTTCACTTAACTGGAATCCTGGGATGGATTCCAGAATGGCCTAGTCTTCTGGGCCAGTACAGCCATGGTCAGGAAGGCCAGGCAGGCACTCAGGGTAGAAATTATGGTTTTCAAAGTTCATCCTATCTCTAGTGTCTAGAACTGTGCCTGGCACATAGTAGGCCCGTGATAAGTACTGGATGAATGAACAAAGAGATGAACAAATGCTTTCACACACAAGCATGGTCTCATTCAATCTGCAAAGTGAGGCATAGGCAGGGCAGGCATTGCCTTATTTTATGGATGGAGAACTGACATCACGAGAGTTAAGTGTCTTGCCTAAGGTCATTCAACTTAGATGTGGCAGACTGGAGGCTAGACACTGTGCTCTTTTTATAGTACCATGTGAACATTCTTGGTATGGCAGTCCAGGAATACATCCTATGACTGGACATGAACTTCCTTTGGGGTCCTGCTGGTCAGAAAATAGCCCTTCAGGGGCTCAGTTTCCTGGACACAGTCTCAGGGCCAATTTTGGACATCCTGGTCCTCCTTGCCCACCTGGCATCTGCCTGCCCTTTTATGAGCAGCTCCAGGAAAAGGGGCCCCTCCATTAGTCTCTGTTGTCACATCTAACTCTGAATGTCTGGATTCCTGAGACACAGAGGCAGGGAGCTGGTGGCTTTACACTGAGAGTCAGGAACAGAACGAAGTCACAAACATTCAGTTCCTTTTTCTCTTATCCTTGATAGAAACTTCAGATAGCCTAGACCTCCAAGTTAGTTCCTGGAACTCAGACAAGCAACTAACTCATCTTACAGCAAGAACCTCCCAGAAGCTCGGAGCCCATAGTCTGAGGAGTGTTTCTAGAAGGTCTCCAAAGCCAGGAAGAGGACTCTCCTGAGCTGGAATATCTTACATCAGCTGGCCCTTCTCTGCACAGCATTCTGTCTTGTACCTTTCTCTTATGGAAGCTGTGAGGTATAGAGCAAGGGAACAAAGATCAGAAAACCTGGGTTCTAGTGCTGGCTTTGTTACTCATCAACTGTGTATCTTCTCTCCACCTCATTGTCTTCCTCTGCAAAATAGGAATAAAAATTCTCAGCTATATCATACGGCAGTTGTGAGTTTAAAGAGGAATAGTTTATATCAAAGTGCTTTTAAGCACAAGACAGAAACGATGCCAGGACTATTTTTTATGGCAAGAAAAAAAGACAAAGAGGAGGGAAACTTCCAGGATGCCCCAAAGCCCTCTGTTCCCCCTTGTTCCCGATTCATTTATAATAAAGCACCTGCGTGAACAAGGCACGCACCAAGTGCTGAGGGAGAGACAAAGTTACTTAAGATGTGATCTCTGCTCTCAAAGGATTGAAAGACTAGCACAGACTGTGTACCAAAAGACAGACACAGAGATTTTAGAGAGCGCCAAAGATCACAGAATGAAAAGGAAGTTCTACGAAGAGTTAGAGGCTTTAGAATTGTTCAACCAGGTGAAGAGGCCGCAGGGGGAAGGAGAGGGAAGAGATTGTCACGCTGCATAACGGTCTCCAAGCCTCTTTGACCAGGAGGAAATGAAGTCATCCTGCTCTTGAGAATCAGCATGACAGCCTCCAGCCAAGTAATCTGGAGTCATGAGAGCTGCTGGGGAGCTCTGTGATTCATGCGACTGCTGGGAATTTCCTGATAACTAACCTAGGAGTTTCGGGGTAAGTCCTCAGGCTGCAACATCTCTGTTTACATTTTGATCACGTTTGTTTACAACTAATGGGTTCTAAATCTAAACAAAACATGTCACAGTCTTCTAGAGGAAGTAGAGAGGCCAGGTCTCAGGCCTGTAGTACCTCTGACTCAGTCCATCCCCTGGGAAGTGGCAGCTCAGCCTGGCACAGAAAAACTCTCTCTGGAGGACGATGGGTCACCTGCCTCCTGAAAGCTGGAAGGTTAACTTGTACTTTCCCCAGACAGAGGCCCGCGTCCTGAAACCTCTGGCCCGAGCAGAGCAAAGAGGCTTTCCTCCTTCCTGGCACTCTCCCTGACCTCTTCCTGCCGCCTTCAAGTGGATGCAGAACCAAGGTCCAAGTTTGCTAGACAGCAAAATGCTGTAGGCCTAGTCAGTGACAGGGACCAAACCTTGGGCCTGGCTGTGAGCCTCTAATGAGTTATAGGGACTCAGTCTCCTCCCCTCCCATTAAGGGAGACAGTCTTGCTACGTGGAATCAAAGTGACCTCAAGCTGTGGTTCCCAACACTAGGCAAAAGGGATGTGGGTGACTGAACCTCAGAGTTCCTGCTGAGCTCCTTTATGCCTGAGGGATATGTGCGTGTGCATGTGTGTGTGCATGTGCTTGTGTACACAGATATGTGCACTCGCCATCAGGCAGGAAGAATGGGTGGAGTCCTTTACACATGGTCTGTCTTTCTGGAGGCCAATCTTATGATAAGCAATTATTTAATCTTATTAGAAACAAGGCTGTATGATGAAGTAGAATACTAAATACACATGCATTCAGAAATCTGTAATCATCTTTTTGGAATGGATGATACAAGGACGTGTTTTCAAAAATTTATACAGTGTAAAAGGGCATACAGTGAAAAATAAAACTTCTTCTCATTTTTGTCCTCCAGTTCCCTAATTCTTCTCCTCAGAGGTGAAAACAGAACTTCCTACCCCTCCACAGTTTACTGTCTACATTAATAACGCTTTACTATTCCATTGTCTTTATTAACTAACTATACCCCGGCCCAAGCAAATAAATGGGTTGCTCATTGTAGGAACTTCCTGAAAGACCCATCAACACTTCAACAGAAAGCATGAACAGTTTGTGCCCTAAGACCTTGTTCTCACAATCCTACAATATTATATCATGACCCTTATCTAATCTTTATCAAGCCCACACTTGCAAAGACCACCCTTAAACTGCAAATTCTCAATAACATGCGACCTTACCTACCCTCTCTGGTCCCCCACGACCAAACTCCCTAACCGCGGTAAGCAATAAACTTAGCTTTGTCTTATCTGCTGGTTGCGTTGACGATTTGTGTGTAGCCGGTATTCGACAGAAGCAGCCCCTATTAGCAGGGGGTTTGTCTGTGTTTCAGTGAGAGTCACGTGCATTTTCAGGTTGAGAAAGAGACTTCATAGCTATATGAATGCGGACTATGCCCCTATATACCTAGGGTGGGAATCATCCTCCCAGGTAGTTGGGGGTCGAGTGTGAAAAGGCTGGAGAAAAGCTGACTTAGGGGATCTGTGGGGAATCATCAGAGCTGTAACGGGAGAGAATCCCGGGACCTCCGCTCCTCTCTCCACTTCGGAGCCCGGCACTGGGGCGGGGCCCGGGGCAGGTAAATGGGAGGAGGGGGCGGTGAATTTAGATGCCTCTAGATCCCTCAGTTCAGACGTGGCTCGTCCCCTCCGCCAGGGACCGCGCTGCCCCTCACACTCAGTCAAGGCTGAGGAAGGACGCGGGGTCGACGTCGCGCGGGGCTCCAGGGAAGAGGAGGGAAGGGAGTGGGAAGGGCGATCTTGGGCTGGGGCGGGGCCAGGCTGGGCGAGTCCTAATATAGAGCACGCGCCGCTGGCTAGCAGCACAGCGCAGAGACTGGAGCCCCGGAGCCCCGCCAAGTGTCAGAGTCAACCTGCCCCCGCCGTTCCGGCCCCGCAGTGCTCTCGCCGCAGCCGCCGGTGAGTGCACGCCGCCCCAAGAGCGCAGGGCGAATGCGCCGCGGTCCTGTTCTGCTGGCTTCCCTTCCCCCTACCCCGGCTGCTCCGGCTCAGCGGCGGCAGCGGCCGAGTCACCGCTGCCCGTGTCCGTGCCGTGCGGGTGCTGGTCCAGGCGGCGTCGGGACCCCCGATGCCCGAGAGAGGAGAGACGGCCGAGCCTGGAGAGCCTGGTCACTGCGGGCTCGCCCCACAAGGGACCTCGGGACTCCTGCCGTGAACTGCAGTAACCCACCCCGCCCGCCTTCTCGCTCCTCCGCTTCTTCCCCTGACTTCTCCTTTCCTTGCAGAGCAGCTGTCTAGAGCCCCAGCCTCGCCACCATGGGAATCCTGCTGGCTTGCGTGCTCCTCTGGACTCTGGTCGTGAGCGACTCCGAAGTGAGTGGCTTCCCTGCTTTGACTTATGGCGGCGGGGTTTGCAGGACCCCTGAACAGCGCCGGGGGAAGGGGGCTGTATAGGGAACCGGAGTCCTCTGAATTCCATCAACAGCAGGGTCAGACCCTCCCAGGAAAATAGGACAGGTGTGGCAGAGGGGGCCTTGAGAACCAGGGGAGTCCGCACTTGCGGGCAAGGGAGGAAGAAACCGCAGGGACTACCCCAGCCTGCTGGCACCTGATATGTGAAGCTTGCTTGAGTCAATCCATTTCTTCCTGCCGGAAATCTATGATCTTCCATCTGAGGGCTACTTAGACATGAACAGAGCGAGGAGAGAGGGAGCTGGAGGGAAGGGTGAGTTTTGGGATTGGGGCCAGTTTATCCACACCCTGGAGTCCCAGGAGCATTGGACCTTTAGTGAACTTCCCCCTTTCCCTCCCATCTCTTCCAGGGCAGCCATGAACTTCATCCAGCGTCCAGTGCATGTGAGTATCCATCCCTTGCGCAATATCTGGCTGCACAGACATCTTGGAAAAGACTCAGGGGGCAACCCTTCCTGTCCAGGCTGAAGGGCTGGCTCCCCCCTTGCCTCCTCCCACACTCTTTTCTTATACCCCTAACCTTTGTGCTCTCCAGCGAACTGTGGCTGTCTGAATGGAGGAACATGTGTGTCCTACAAGTTCTTCTCCAACATTCAGCGATGCAACTGCCCAAAGAAATTCCAAGGGGAACATTGTGAGATAGGTATGGGGATCCTGACTCTAACTGGGGAGGAGGGGACACCAGAGATTTAGGGGCAGGGAGAGATGGGTGGGATGCAAGAACAGGCAGGAGTTAGGAGCTGGAGGTGGTGTGAGGGCCATATTTATCCCTATGTGATGTACATAGTCAAACACACACCATCTCATGAAACTGTGGCTGCATGAATGTGAGATGAAGATGGAAGGAGACCCTTTTCTAGTGTTTTCTCCCAGGCCTATAATCATGTGAGGCCTGACAGGGTCTCTAAAATGCCTATTTAAACTTCCTCCTTTTTCTAATATTTTCTCATCCTCACATTCTTCCACAGATACATCAAAAACCTGCTATGAAGGGAATGGTCACTCTTACCGAGGGAAGGCCAAAACTGACATCATGGGCCGGCCCTGCCTGGAGTGGAACTCTGCCACTGTCCTTCTGAAAACGTACCATGCACACAGACCTGATGCCCTTCAGCTGGGCCTGGGGAAACACAATTACTGCAGGTGAGGTGGGGGCAGCAAGGGCCTCGCGGAAACCCTTGTTACTGTTCCCTCCTGCTTCCAGAGTGCTGGCCATAGCATGAGAAAAGCAAGGCCTCTGGTTGACTCTTCCCTGGAGGGGAGGATGCAGGAAAGGCATTCAGGGTTGGAATGATACCCTCTACCCTCTGTGTTGCCAGGAACCCAGACAATCAGAGAAGGCCCTGGTGCTATGTGCAGGTTGGCCTAAAGCAGCTTGTCCAAGAGTGCATGGTGCACGACTGCTCTTTTGGTGAGTGTCACTGGCCTGTTTATGAAGGTAGGGCGGAAGGGGATAAACGCATATGGCCCCTTATCCCATCACAGGAGGGATGAGGATAGAGGCCTGCTAGGCCTTGAAAAACTGGGAGGTCAGAGGACAAGGAAAGGGATACTTTATCCTGCCTGCCTCCCAAAGACATCCCTCTCTTTCTCCTCCAGGAAAAAGTCCCTCCTCTCCTCCGGAAAAAGCAGAGTTCCAGTGTGGCCAGAAGGCTCTGAGGCCCCGCTTTAAGATTATTGGGGGAGAATTCACCACCACTGAGAACCAGCCGTGGTTTGCAGCCATCTATAGGAGGCACCGTGGAGGCTCTGTCACCTATGTGTGCGGTGGCAGCCTCATCAGTCCTTGCTGGGTGCTCAGCGCCACACACTGCTTCATGTACGTCCCTCTGTCTCTTCTCCCTGACCCGCCGCCCTACCCCAAACATATCTCTTCCTCTTTCCCAGCAAAGGATTCCACTTCAATTCTGCTCCCTCAGCCCCACTCCATGCAGCCCACGGCCTTGGGAACAAGTCATGCTCTGAGGTGGTGGGGAGGGAAAAGTGACAGGATCTCATGAGATCACACTGTGTGACAAACCTTCCCTCCCGCAGTAATTACCCGAAGAAGGAGGACTACATTGTCTACCTGGGTCGGTCAAGGCTTAGCTCCACTTCGCCCGGGGAGATGAAGTTTGAGGTGGAAAAGCTCATCTTGCATGAGGACTATAGTGCTGACACACTCGCCCACCACAACGATATTGGTGAGTGGAAAGCCCTCATCTGCCATAATGATGATGGCTGGGGGAAGAGGGGTGCAAGAAGAGACTCAGGTAGGAGGTTGAGGTTGTAGGGGAACTTGAGGACCCTGCTTTACACAACAAAGGGAGTGGTGGAGAAGGGTTCAGAGTGACATATACGAGGGGCCTGGTGCTCCTCTGTAAAGTTCCTGAATTTCCAAACAGGTAGCCCCCTTGGGCGGCAATGGCCCCAGGGGCATATGGCTTGGGCTGGGATGAGATGCAACCTCTGTCTGTCCAGGATATAGAAGTTGGAGAGAGCTTTGGGCTGGATTTTAGCCCAGCTACCTCAGCCAGGACTTTTTGCAGAAAAAACCCATATAGTTGTATGCAGCATCCTTGGCTGTCCAAGCTTTTGTCAGCAGCTGGAACAAAGCTCTTGAGGCATGGGACAGGGGAGGCTTGTTTCAGGTGACAAGCTACCAGCAGATCTCCCAGGATGACCCCTGACCCTAACTGACCTAGGGATAGACAGCTACTCCCTCAGCATTTGGAGGGGAGAGATGGTGATCACCTAACCCTTTTCCCCTCCCCCAGCCTTGCTGAAGATCAGTTCCAGCACAGGCCAGTGTGCACAGCCGTCCCGGTCCATACAGACCATCTGCCTGCCCCCAATGTATGGTGATGCCCGTTTTGGCACAAGCTGTGAGATCACTGGCTTTGGAAAACAGAATTCCAGTAAGTGATATTTGGGGCTGCCTGAGTGTCCTGGGGGAATGTAACCTAGCAGTGACCTAGAAGTCACTTGTAACCTAGACATGAGCTCAGCTTGATCAAGGGAGGAGTATGGAGATAGAGATGGGAGCACCATGGAGGCAGCAGATGGGTCCAGGAACAGAGTAGGGAGCATTGTTTACAGAATGACGGGTCATAAAGGTAAATAGATGGGAGGTGAGGGGCTATAGGTGGGGTTAAGGTTCAGATTTGGGTGGGAAAAGAATAAGGGTTTTCCCTGTTAGGGATGATTTTTGGTCCCCTCCCTAGCAGAAAGTCCCAGTGGGAAGGCTGGACAGATACATCTTAACATAAATTCCTCCTGTTTCTTCCATCTAGCTGACTATCTCTATCCAGAGCAGCTGAAAATGACTGTTGTGAAGCTGGTTTCCCACCAGGAATGTCAGCAGCCCCACTACTATGGCTCTGAAGTCACCACCAAAATGCTGTGTGCTGCTGACCCGCAGTGGGAAACAGATTCCTGCCAGGTGAGAGTTCCAAGTGTCTCTCTCCATCATCTCCCCATCTCCCCAGGGCTCCTGGGCCCATCCCTGTCAGCTTTGGGAAGCCTTTCTCCAGCCAAAGCCCCAAGAAGCCAGAATGGGGAGCTTGGGTCTTAAAAGGTTTAAACCAATCCTTATGTGTTTATCAAACAGTTGTCATGAGCCTGGCTCTGTGCTAGGTACTTCAGACTAGGGGAGGGAGGGGGACTAAGACCATAAAAAAGAGAAAACAATAGAGAAAAATACAACTCAGTGCTCAGGGTGTGATGTGAATTATATCAGATGATTAGGAGAGGAAGGTGAGTGCCAACTGGGTGGTCACACTAGGGGGACGTTAAAGAGAATGTGATTCAATGGGAATTTGAGGAAGCAAAAAGAAGAAAGGAAAGCGGATCTTGGAAAGATAAAAAAATAAGAATGAGCACAGCATATTCTAGAATGGGAAGAAGTAGGGTCTGAGAATGTAGCTGGAATAGTGGCAGATTATAGGGTTTGAAAGCCAAGCAGAGGATTTAAACTTGATTTGGTAGGAAATGGGGAGTCCCTAAGCGCTTTGACTCTAGGAAAATCCCTTCTCTCTTAGGCATGATTGGGTGGTGGGATCAGATGGCCCCCTCCTCACTTCTCCCAGGGCTCACTTTGCATCTTTGGCTTAATAGGGAGACTCTGGGGGCCCCCTGGTCTGCTCCGTCCAAGGCCGCCTGACTCTGACTGGGATTGTGAGCTGGGGCCGTGGATGTGCCATGAAGGACAAGCCAGGCGTCTACACGAGGGTCTCACGCTTCCTGCCCTGGATCCGCACTCACACTGGGGAAGAGAATGGCCTAGCCCTCTGAGAGGACCTGGGGAGCCAAGGGAGGAGAAGGGCACCACCCTCCCATGCTAACTGTGATTTTTGCAGTAGGGCCACCTGCACCAGCTATACAGGGAGAGACTGAGGAACATAGGCTCTGCAAAGATGGTTTTACTTGTGCTGCCCATGAGGATGAGCGACAATAGCTTTACCCTCGGATAAGCCTAGGTGCTGGGTGCCTAGCTCCCCCCGGCCAGGATGGAGGGATGGTCCTGACCCAGGATGGTATTGACCAGTAGTTTGTCTTTTTCTGGATTAAAGCCTCCTGGAGTTAAAAGTGGCATCTTCTGTGTATGGATGGAAGGAGACCTAGCTCCCCCAACAGTGGGCATTCATGAGGTACACTGTTGGGAAATGAATAATTTCCAAATTAGGAAGTGTAACAAAACTGAGGTCTCTTGAGGGAGCTTGGCTGGTGTGGGAACAGTGGTTTAGGGAGTAGAGACACTAATGACTTGAGAGAAGGGCTCTGGCATTCCATGAATGTATCAGGTAATATTATATGTGTGTGTGTATGTTTGCACATGTGTGCATGGACTGTGAGTATCAGTGTGAGCCAATGTATTCCTGTGTCTGACTGCAAGTCTAGATATTTCCCTAAACTATATGAACTATGATGCCACATAGAACAGTCTGTCTGGAGAGGTCATGGGTCATTCCTGGGGCTTCTTGGGTCCCCTACCTGATGATGCCTATGAATGTGTCATTCTGGGTTGTGGCCTGTGACCAGCAGTAGATGTCTCCATTTCACTTTCACACAGATGTCCCTTTCTTGGCCAGTTATGCCCTCTGACCTTCTAGCGGAGTTCGTCCAGTCCTCACTGAATGGGGTGAGGACCACTCCTGTACACTGAATATTTAATAATTATATTCTGCTGTTTTTATTTATATCTATTTTTGTAATTTTGAATAAAGACGATCAATAAAATGTGATTTTCTGAAGACTTTGTCTCTTCCCTGGTGCTTGTATGGGAGGGAGTTGGAGAGCATAGAAAGTAGAACATGACGGTGGTGGCATGTACCCCAGAGTCTCTTGTGGAGCTGCATCTCTGGACTTAATGGGGCTTTGAGAAGTAGAGGCTAGGAGAATTGTAGAGAAGGCCCTCCGAAGCACGTAATGTACAAAAAGATGCCCCAAGTCAGGGCCCCAGGGCTTGCTAAATGGTGTGCAGGCTGGGTGTCAACTCCCAATTCCGTCCTCAGCCTGCTTCCTTTGTGCAGTGTATATCTGATACAACTGTACACAGTGATCCTCTTTAGGATTAGTCCCACCATATTCTCTTCACTCCACCCCAACAATCCTTGGCTGACCTCAACCAAGGAGAATATCTGCCTGAGTGAAAATTGCTGATCTAAAACCAGCTCAGCTTGAGTCTGCAGCATTCAGGGAACAGAATGTAATTTCCCATCATCTGTGCATGGGGCTGGTGCTGAGTTTTCTCAGTGTGTTAATGGAGCTTGTGACCAGCCATTGCTATCCCTAACATCAGGGGGCTCAGAATCTAAAGCTGGGTGATATCCTAATGGAGGTGACCATATATTTTGAACCAGATATCAGCTTCTGAAGAACTGGGGTATAGAAGGCAGGCCAGGAGATATAGGTGGATGCCAAAATATTGGAATTTCCAAGCTATGTTGATGGGTTTTGGCAGTGTTTCTTAACCAAGTCACTTGAGAACCTTTTAAAAATATAAACAAGCCTATGCTCCACCCACAGAGATTGTGATCAGGTCAGGGCTAGTGCCGCGTATTGTGATGGTAGAAAAGCTCCCCAGATGTTTCTGATTATCACCCCTGATTGAGATCCTTTGGGGACATTGGCCAGATTATGTGAAGGACCCAGAAAATTCAAGATGTTGTCAACATGTGTTCTCCGCGTGAACACTCAGTTTTCTGAGTGGGGTTTGGGGGTGCAAGGTCTCCGGGCTTCCCTAGACCATGGGCCCCTGGAGGGCAAGGATCTGATTTTTAATCCCCACAATCTAGCATGTTGTCTTATTCAGTATGATGCAGTAGTTCAGAGCATGGATTTTGGAGTCAGGTGAGCTGGACTAGAATCCTGGCTCTAATACAAGCAGTGTGACTTGGGAAAGACTCTTAACCTCTCTATGCCTCAGTTTCCTCATCTGTGAAAAAGAGATAATATCTGCCTCCTAGGACTGTGATAAAGATTCATGAGTTCATAAGTCTCTTGGCGTTATCCTGGCACCTAGAAAAGGCACAAATACAGTGGCTGTTATTACAAAGTGATGTAAATTTCTGTGGAATTGAATGGGAACCTCCTCCCCTCTTCCTCCTCAGGATTACATTGGTATGTTTTGTAGGGGCTGAAACTTGCCAGGAAAGAAAAGGCGTGATGTGAAGCTAAGAGGCCCAGCCCAGGCTGAGTTGCTGCTCAGCCTCTGTGTTCCCCCCCAGGGGCCAAGAAAGATCTTGTTCCAACATGAGCAGCTCCAGCATCAGGGCTCACAGACACTGAAAACAGGAAGTATGAGCCCCACTGGCGGGATTGAGCAATGGCACGCTAACTCTCCAGACCATTTCCCAGCCACCACCCCCAACCCCCAGCCAGCTGCTATCTCTTCCCTGATTCCTGTAGACCTCACTGGGGCTGGCCGGGATCATCCACTTCTCCAGCAACCAGTTTCATGGCTCCAGATACTACCCTGTCAATCACTTTAGGGACTGCTTTCTTCTAGTGCTCACTGTGTCCTGGACACTGTTAAATTCCTTTTTTCTTTTTTAAAGATTGGCACCTGAGCTAACAACTGTTGCCAATCTTCTTCTTCTTCTTCCTCTTCCTCTTCCTCCTCCTCCTCCTCCTCCTCTTCTTCTTCTTCTTCTTCTCCTCCTCCTCCTTCTCCTTCTTCTCCCCAAAGCCCCCTAGTACATAGTTGTATATTCTAGTTGTGAGTGTCTCTGGTTGTGTTATGTGGGACACAGCCTCATCATGAGCTGATAAGTGGTGCCATGTCCACGCCCAGGATCCGAACTGGAGAAACTCTGGTTCGCCAAAGTGGAGGGCACGAACTTAACCACTTAGCCACGGGGCCGGCCCCTGTTAAATTCTTCGCATATTAGCTGCTTTCATCTTCACAACGATCCTATGCTATCATTGGCCCCATTTTACAGTAGAGAAAATGGAGGCACCGAGAGATTGACTGACTTGCCCAAGGCAATGCAGCTGGTAAGTGGCAGAGCCAGGGTTCAGACTCAGGCAGTGGGCTCCAGAGTGTGCAGGCCCAGCACTATAACATATGACCTCTCAGCAGGGCCCAGCCTGGGGAAAGGAGAGCAGCCCTCCTTTCACACTCCCTACTTCAGGGATGCTGGGTTTCTAGGCTAAGTGTATCCGAATTTCAACCCTGGCCTAGATTATAATTTTTTCTTCTTAAAAGATTCCCAGGCCAGGGGCTGGCCCCGTGGCCGAGTGGTTAAGTTCGCGCTCTCCACTGCAGGCAGCCCAGTGTTTCGTTGGTTCGAATCCTGGGTGCAGACATGGCACTGCTCATCAAACCATGCTGAGGCAGCGTCCCACATGCCACAACTGGAAGGACCCACAACGGAGAGTATACAACTATGTACTGGGAGGCTTCGGGGAGAAAAAGGAAAAAAATAAAATCTTTAAAAAAAAAAAAGATTCCCAGGCCAAGTGAGGAGAGCATGCTCAGCCACCAGTTTCAAAGTAAAACTTCACCCTTCTCAAGCTAACCTCAGACTTTTTTGCTGAAACCTGGTTTCATTGAAGTGGTTTCCATTTTCACCAGAACCCCTCCTTCCGAAATATTCCCTGGCCCATTCTATTATCAGGTCTCAACTAGATTTCCACTTGTGCTCTGCTTGCCCAAGCTGACTCCCCACAGCAACCACATCCCTGCATATACCCCTCCACACACCCCCAGCATGTCCACCTTCCTCTTTGGCAGCAACCGTTTGAGACTTCCCTTTGAACCAGACACAGTGAGAGGAGTTGCTGAGGTGTTTTCTAAATAATAGTACTATTGTGATATAAATCACATACCATACAATTCACCCATTTAAAGTATACAACTCAATGATTTTTAGTATGTTCGTAGAGTTGTGCAACTACCACCACAACCAATTTTAGAACATTTTCATCACGTAAAAAGAAACTCACACCCATTAGCACTCACTCCCTTTTCCTCCCCAATCCCACTCTACTTTCTGTCTCTATGAGTTCCATATTCTGGACATTTCATATAAATAGAATCATATAATATGTCGGTTTTTGTGACTGACTTCTTTCATTTGCTGTAATGTTTTCCAGTTTCATCCATGTTGTAGCATGTGTCGGTACTGTTGCTGAGTTTTAAATAGAAAATTGGGAGAAAAGATAGTCTAGGCCCCCTTCTGACCTTGTAGTCCCATTGAGAGTCATTCAACAAACTCTAAAATAAAATTTTAAGTACTAAACATCAGGCACTGTTTTGAATGCTGAGGATATAAGAATGAATGGGACGTAGTCCAAGTTCTCAAGAGCTCACAACTTTGCAAAGGAGACAGAATCATGACCAAAGTTCAAGTGATAAATACTATAATGAAAGCATGTATAAAGTGCATGAAACAATGATGTGAAAGCAATTAATTTTGCCTTGGGAAATCAAGGAAGACTTTACAGAGGAGGTGATATTTTACCTGGGCCTTCAAAGATGCAAAGAAACTTGCCAAAGGAGGAGGAGAAAGCCATTCTAGGCATGGGGAAGATCACGGAGGCGTGAAAAGGCAGGATGTTCTCAAGAAATAACGAATAAACTGCCGTGATAGAGAAAAGAGTTTGGGGGGCAATGAACAGGCAGAGAGTAGTGGGGGAAGGAGCTGGTGGGATCCAGCTGGTGAGGACCCTTAGACAGGGCTGATACTCAGCAGCAGGCACCAGTACTGCTCAATCACTAAATAGCTGCTGTGCCAAGATCCCCTCCTTGTAGCCCCCTGCTGCCCAGTCTTTCTCCATTTCTTCATGACCCACCAACCAAAGGGTTAATGCCTGACACAGCAGGTCTGAGAGAGACCCCTCTCTCCTCCAGCTGCCCACCAAAGTGCTGGTACTCTGAAGTCCTGCTAGTTACATATTTTGAATACCACCTCTTGCCCTCAAGTACTTTTTTCCAAAACCCAGAAAGTTAATTAAGGTCAAGGAACTATAAAAAGTGGGTTTTTTCTCTCTTACCTAAAAACTTCCACCCAATTGTAAAAGTAGCTATAAAAGTAAAGTGCTCCCACAGCATTCCACAGCAATTGTTAACATCTCTGAGTCTCCTTCACAGTCTCAACAACCTCCTCTACTTAGCCTGGAATGTTGGGCTCTCCAACACCTGATCCTAGACCTTCTCCTCTTCACAGCCTAAACTTTCTCCCAAGCAGTCTCATTCACATCCAGCCTTAAATTATCACCATAAACAACTGATTTACAAATGCTCATCTCCAGCCAGACCTCTCCTCTGAGCTCCAGACCCTTATTTTCCATTGTCTACTTGCCACCCCCTTTTGGTTGTCGCACATAGGGCATTTCAAACTCAATCTGCCCCAAACTGGCTGTATCTTCAGGTCCCAAACTGATGGACTTCTTCCTTCACTCTGTCTCAGATCATGGCACCACCTCCATTCACATGCAGAAACCTAGGAATCATCCTAATGCTTCTCTCCTCTCACCTGCCTCATCCCATCCATCACCAAATTCTGGCAATTTGCCTAATAGCTCTTGAAGTCATCTATTTCTCTCCATTTTTACCACCACCATTAGTTGAACCCAAACCACCATGAACTCTTGCCTTGACTACCACAGTAGACTCCCAAGAGGCCTCCCGCATTGACTCTGTCTCTTTCTCCACTCCCTCCCACACCCTGACAAATCCATTCTGCTCACCTAAAGTGAGAAGTCCTTAGAAAATACAAATGTGCTTAATGACTCCCAT